AGGCTAGTATCTGAAATATACAGAGCTATTTTTATATAAATTACAGTGATGCCTCAATAGACACAAATATTAAGGAACGACATTGTGTGCCCAGAATCCTTTGGTACATATTGTTATTTCAAGGTATATTTAGTTACCATTTTTTTTTTTAATATGCAAAGTTGTGCAAGTCTTTTCAAGTACAAATTAATATATGTGTCTTCAATGTACAGGAGACCGCTAATGGGTGGAATCATTTCCTGGATATTCAGATCACACAGTGCATGTGTGGGTGGATTTCGGGAAGAGATGGTAAATTAATCCCACTTACTTAAGATAAGCATTAACTAGTGGGATCCACCCAGTTTATCAATTATATTGTATTTTTGTAAAAAAATAATCAAATTTTATATTTTTGCAGTGCAAAAGTGTACAACATGCTTGAGGTGCCCCTACACCTTTCCACAAGCTAAGCAACACATATACATAACATTAGGACACAGGAGAATACTTGCACAATTTCATAAACTATAGCTTGTCGGGCTTTCATGACCAAGCTGTAGGCAAGTATGCAAGTTGGTAAAGTGATAGGGTAGCTAGTCATGTAAAGCAACAGTAAAATTACGAGATGTATAACATGCTAAACTGTATGATTAAACGGATTAGCTGTAATGTCACCAGGCCCCAGACTCCCCCTAAGACGTTGTGCCTGCAGTCCAATTTCCCTGCTATAGAGACATTGGTGCCACTGAAAAGAATTAGGCGTTCATCCAATGGCACATGTGGGTTTCCGCTGGGTGACACTCCATATGTGCAGGATGGCATCTTGTGTGCGTTGAGACAAAGTCCACTCACAGCCCCAGGCAGGTGTTGAGGCCTGCATCACAAAGCCACGGACTCGGGGGCTCACTGAGTCCAAGTCCACCCCATTATGGGGAATGCAGACGACCTTGGTGGATAATCGCCACCGATGGTGGATGGTCTTCCCCTTGTGTGGGAGATGCTTTGGTGTCGGTCCCATGATGGCCCTCAGTTCTTAGTTCTTAGGTGCAACCCCCTTGTCCGCCACCTCCCCATACCACTTCGTTTGACAGGTTTGGAGCTTGTCTCGCAGCCGGGGTGTCCCAGAATATTTGGAAGATCGCATCCTCTTTCTGCAGGGACCGCTCTACAGCGCCATGATGTGACTGTACATGCTGCATGGGAGGCTTCCAGGAACATGGCGAGCCTGCCATTTTAGGCATAGTCGCTGTATTAGAGGAGCAGGCTTTGTGCAGCTGCAGGGTGTTGCCTGGGTGAGTATAGGTTGGTGGGGACCAGGATGACCCCCACCGCTCCAAGGGGGGGACTTGAAATCTTGGCTCGTGGTTCGGGAGATGGGCTGCCTCCTCCAACTTCCGCGTGTGCAAGGCCTCACCACATCCCAGGGTTGTCCCCACTGTGGGGCACCTCGGAGGACTCCGTTCCTCTGCCGGGTCTGTGGGATTCAGGAAAGGGCATTTCGGCGTATTATTTAAGCCGAAGTAGGAGCTCTCCCACAACACGTCCGTCCGCCATGCGGTTCAGGCCCCGTCCGTCAATTATATTGTTTTTAAATATAAATAGAAGTGCTGCATATTGTGTTTAACCCCTTAAGGACACATGACATGTGTGACATGTCATGATTCCCTTTTATTCCAGAAGTTTGGTCCTTAAGAGCTTAAAGCAAACCTGTTATGAGAAAAAAAATACTATAGTCACCAAATCAACTTTAGGTTAACAAAGCAGTGTTGGTGTATAGATCATAGCACCCGAAGTCTCACTGCTCAATTCACTGCCATTTAGAAGTTAAATCACTTTTCTGTTTATGCAGCCCTAACCACATCTCCCATGGCTGTTACTGACACAACCGGCATGAAAACAACATGGTTTAATTTTCAATCAGATGTTAATTTACTTTAATAGTTTTTAACTCCTGCTCTGTAAATTGAACATTAACCACACACATGATCTCTCCTCCCCCGGTGCTGTCACAGAGGAGGCATGGCCTCCTTCAGCATGGTCCAATACAATGCTTCTTATACAGGAGCATTGGGGACCTAATAGGCATACGCATGTGCGGTATAGGAGTGCTGTGCGTATTCAGACTTTCTGATAGAAAAGCAATGCTTTCATATACGGCTTCCACGTCATGTGACCGAGTTTTACTCGGTTAGTGCAACATACTGGCAGCCACTAAAGGAGGACTTAGCCCTGCAATGTAAACGCTGCCGTTTCTCAAAACCTACAATCTTACATGGCAGGGTTAAAGCGATAGAGTCACTGTACCCAGACCACCATTGAGATGAAGTAGTCTGGGTGACTATAGTGTCCCTTTAAGACAAAAACAGACGGACTGCATCAATATGTATGACACAATAAACATCCAGATAAAAGGGGGGGAAATGGTGGATCAAAGTTCACCGATCTGGCATTATAAGAGACAAATTGTATATTGGGATTTGTGGTCATAAGGGAGGTGTGGCATCCGTATGCTGCTTTTATTTAACCCTTAGGATGCCGGAGCAATGTTCTGTCCTCTGGTATTTAAGTAGTTAAGTAAATGAGATACTGTGCGTGTCTTTTTTTTTTTTGGTAACTGAGAGGTTAAAGAGGTTTGGCAAACATATGAGTCACTTCCTTAACACAGCACACACATAAGGAATGCATGCTGTCATGGTAACCGTATCCCTAGGGAGCTCAGCTCTGTCTGCAGGGGTGCTAACCAGGCCCTGCATGTGCTTAGGGAGAGAGAATGACAAATCTAAAAATGCTTAAAGGGGGTTGATTGAGAAAAAATAATATATATAGAAATTTATGAATTTATTTTCGATGGCGCTGCCACTGTGCGTGTTTTCCCCCTGATTATTCAATCTGTTTGTTAGGGTTTCACATATACAGAATTGATCTGCTCCCTGGGCAAAATCCATTAATCAGATAATTGCATAGGGGTCCTGAATATAATTATTAATAATTAGCGTTTTATAGTACCGGCATGTTACTGTAGCACTTTACAGTTATACAGCGAGGATACATTGTATAAAACACTCTGTGTGAGTGCTTGCTGGGATAATTCATAGGTCGTCTGAAACAGTTTTTGGTCCAGTTAATAATTAATTGCAAATAGCGGGTTACACAGTTTCAATACTGGGCCAGTAATCCATCTCAATCTGCCATGACAAACCCAGCAGGCCGAATTCTTTGGTTTATGAATTCTCATCATGTACCCAGTTCAAAAACGATGTTTAGAGCTACAGGCATATGTGTCAAAGCGAATATATCAGGGTTATTCACTAACGTGTATATTGTACGTTCTCCACTATTTGTACAGCACTGCTGAATTTGTTGGCCCTTTAAAAATACTAGTAATAAATAAACATGAAAATTTAAAGTGAATTTCAAATTCAAACTCTGAGTAATAAAGCCGACTTGGAGAATTTTTAAACTTTAGCAGGTATTTTGACCTTAAATTTGAAATTCATTTTGAATTTTCCACTTTTTCTAAATAACCTTGTTAATTTAATTGATTGTATTTAAATATTGCAGTCCCTTGTATGTTCTCATTTGCATGTTACCCCCCTTTAATATAAAATCCACAGATTCATCAGAATAGCACATCAAAGAAAATTTATTGGAAACAGGATCACAAAATAAACATATTCTACTTTTTGTTATGTTTGTTTCATCTACCTTAGTTTCTCCCTCTACTTACTAATTTTATTAAAGGACACCGAGGCTCATGTTAGGCTTTATCTCTTTATTCCTCAGCAGCAAAGAAAGGATATTGCTACTTTTAATATAGCAATAAGAAGAGAAAACAAATACCCTTAAGGGTTAACCATATAACATTCCAAGCATATTAACCAATGAGATCAGTCCTTGTACTATGTCCCCTCATGTGACCTAAGCCACTCCCTCTTTCTTTGCTGATGCCTCAGCTAAGTCCGACATATTTTTTTCAGCTCAAAAAAATTGTGTTGTATTTACTGTGGTTTTTTTTCATAATCTTAATTTTCTGCTAATTTATCTATAATTTACTGTATATTTATTTCTATCCTGTTTGTTCTCCATTTGTCCTCAGTGCAGGATACTTGCCCCTTCCCAGAGGGAAGCCCCATCCTGCACTGCCGTTTCAGGTTGTTTATAACCCGTATTTCCCAGTTTTCCACCGGGTAGGGGACGCTCCCGGGACCCTGAGGTACCCCCCCTACCCCCTCCTCATCTCCCCGGCTCATACCGAGCAGCGTAGCCGGCCGACACACCGCGGCTATTAAGATAACCGCCACATAGAGCGCATGCGCGGTTCGCTCCCGCGCATTGCGGCGGCCATCTTGTGGTTGGCAAATTTGCCACGCTTTTCGCCCGTCGCTCGCGCCACTCGTTCAGGGAGGGGCGCGAGCTGATTGGCTAGGGGAGGTGTTGGGCAGCTTACCAGTGTCCCCCAGGAGTCATTCCTGAGGGAACACTCAGTAAGCTACCATATTATTTGTGCCAATTCTGTTGTTTGTGCCTCAATAGTTGTGCCCTTGCCCTAAGTGCGTGTATACCTGTATACAGTGTGTTTTAGGCCAGTTACCTTCAGCCTCCTGGTCATAAACCACTGCAAGAGTGTCAGTGTGCACTGTGCCCTTGTCCATTGGTGACATTTCTGGTTAGTGCCTTATCCAGTACAAAATGTATTGTGACACATCCTGACCAGTATGCAGTCCCCTGCTGATAAACAGGTTGTTACCCCCCCCCACCTCTACTAAGCCCAGCAAGCACAATACAACAGCCCTGTCTACAGACACTGCTGCCACTGGGGGCTTTGGGGAAGCATCCCAGGAGCACGCGAACTCAGAGGAGTTCCAGGCACTCCTGGATGCTACAATGAGTGGGTCAGTTACACAGGCCATTTTTAACGCCATGGGGGTGATGTCAGACACCCTGTCACACTCTATCTCATCAGGGCATCCAGCTGAACCCCTGTCTCAGCACCCCCTATATCCTCTGATAGCAAGCCAATGGTCCCTAGCGGCCGCAAGGCTACATGCAAATCGCACCATCTACCAGGTGCTGCCTCCAAAACCAGTATGAAGGACAGGTTGTGCCCTGTTGAGACTGAGGACGTGGTGCTCCCACGTAAAAGAGCCCCCCGCCGGGCAAAAGTGGTGCGGAACTGGAAGAGGGCAAAAGCCCTACCTGATTCGTCCGACTCTGATTCGGACTCAGAGGAGGTTTTAGATGGGTCCGATACCGTCGACCTGGTCTATTCAGATAACTCATCCCCCAAACGTAGCGAGACTGCACCTCCAGCGATAGACGCTGAGCAAGTGACGGATGAATCCGCGGTTTTAGACCCCCAAGGGGAACCCCTCTTTGACCCTAATACCTTGCACAATCCGTGCTCGGCGGACTGGTACCCCACAACTCATGTGGCCATTTATATAGGGTAAGGAAACCCCTTGACAAGGCCACAAGGAGCAAGCTGAGGGCGGAATGCCCACGCCCCACTGTCCCAGACATGGCCTGTGTGACCCCCAAGATCGCCCAGTCCCTGGGTAAGTCAGGATGGAAGGCCAAAAAGGGACTGGACTATTCCCTAAAACATTGCCAAGACAAGATCCTAGACATACTCGGGCCTATAGCCAAAATCTTCGACATGATCGAACCGGGCCTTACTGAGGGGACCTCAATTGATTTAATGGCTATCAGGGGATGGATCCAGAGAGGCATATGCCTAATTGGAAATGCCAATACCGCATTGGCCACAGAACGGCGTAAAGCCATATTAATGAAAATTGAGCCAAAATTTATACATCTGGCAATCTCCGAGCCTGGCACACAGGCAAAAGGTCTCCTATTCGGAGAAGACTTTGTCAAAACCCTGGGCAATTATGTCAGCACTTTCACGGCACTAGATAAGGCACAACATAATATTAAGCGTGTGTTCTCGCAAAAGGTTTTCGATGGGGCCGGCAGACAGCGGGGCCGTCTGTCCGGCCGCCCCTCCCGGTCTTCGTTCCGGGGCTACCGAGGCTCCGCCACAACAAGGTTCCCTCCTCCCGAACCCAGGGCACAGTCAGCATTCTTCCCGACCAGGGGCAGGTCGTGGCACCCACGTGTAACCAGGGGATCCTCCTATGGCCGTCGGCCTTATGGTGAGTCATTTCCCATTACACACCCGTTCCTTATCGCATGTGGGGAGCAGATTGTTTCATTTCCAAGATGCTTGGCACAAACTAACCTCAGATGTCTGGGTCCTAGAGACCAACCTAGGCTACCACATCGAATTCACACAACAACTGATTCAATTCTCATTACCACATTGGATTGTTTTTTCCCCACGAGACAAAAATCTGGTACCAGAAGAGATTCGCACACTAGAGGAGAAAGGTGCGATCTACAAAGTCTCGGCTACCACCCCCGGTTTCCTAAGCAACATCTTCCTGGTACCCAAGAAAGGTGGGGGCACGAGACCAGTAATAAACTAGCAGCCTTTCAACGCCTTTGTCACATACCATCACATCAAGATGGAAGGGATACACTGCCTCCGAGACCTACTAAGACTGGGAGACTGGATGGTAAAACTGGACCTCCAAGATGCATACCTCACGATACCGATCGCCGAGGAATGTCACCAACTACTTCAATTCCAATGGGAAAAGACTATGTGGCGTTTCCGTTGCCTCCCCTTTGGCCTGTCTTCAGCCCCGTGGTGCTTCACCAAGCTGCTGAAACCAGTAGTCGCTCTTCTTCGAAGCAGAGGTGCATGTATGATCATATACCTCGACGACATGCTGATCATGGCCCACGACACCCAGCTACTGAACCAGCATCTATTCTGGGCGTTGACCCATTTTGCAAAATCTGGGTTTTCTAATCAATTGGGACAAATCAATCCTGCAACCTTCCAACTTGATAGAGTTTCTGGGCTTCGATATAGACGTAATTCACAGAACGCTCAGTTTACCTACCACAAAGGTAAAACTCATCAAGAAAGAAATCCGGCGGACATTGACATGACCAGTCTTAAACTTTCGGCAGCTAGCCAGGATAATTGGCCTGCTATCCGCCTCCATACAAGCAATTTTCCCAGGTCCTCTCCATTACAGATCCCTGCAACAGCTCAAAGCCATCTAGACTGCGCAGCAAAAGAGGAACTGGCATGGTGGCTTCAACACATGGAAACAATAAAATTTGATATAAAGGAATGGTATAAGGCTTTACAATCAGTCTATTCCACGATACACTGTCTAAATATTAGGGAAGCACATTTTAAAATACTTAATAGATGGTACATGACTCCCAATAAGATCCAGAAATGTTAAAAGGCAGGGACATCTAGAAGGAAATCTTCGGAGCCACCCCGGATCTCATCATAGAATCCGACGCAAGCAGACTCGGGTAGGGTGCTGGTTGTGGTCCCACCTCTACAGGTGGAAAATGGTCCTCAAAAGAAAAGGAACTCCACATCAATGGTTTGGAATTCCTAGCTGGGTCATTTGCCCTCCGGAACCTCCTCAGGCACATGACCAATTGTTCCATACTTCTGCGCATGGACAATACCTCAGCCTTTGGCTACATCAGTCACTTGGGTGGCACGAGTTCCACAATACTCATGAACCTGGCGAAAGAATTTTGGCATTTCTGCCTGAGCCGCAACATATAAGTACAGGCGGAATGCCTTCCAGGACTCTCCAACACTGTAGCAGATTGGAACTCCAGACATTTACGAGACAACAGTGCCTGGCGATTGAATCACACAATATTCCAGAAGCTCCACCAACTCTGGTTTTCGATGCACATCGACCTTTTTGCCTCCTGGCTGAATGCTCAACTTCACTCATTCTTCAGCTGGAGACCGGACCCAGACACCATAGCAGTGGACGCCTTCCTACAAAAATGGCCGAACAACTGGCTATACGCCATACCTCCCTTCTCATTCATAGCGCGAACTCTCCTACACCTACAACGCTCCCGAGCATCGTTGGTTTTAATAACGCCGTTCTGGACGGCACAGCCTTGGTTCCCTTCACTCACGGAAATGTCTATCGACCTTCCCAGATTGATTCCAGAATACATGGAACTATTATCAGACCCTGATGGGAACTCTCTCCCACTTCTAGTGCAAGGCCACCTCAGACTTCTAGCATGGTCCTGGGTTTCCATACTACCCTATATGATCAAGGCCTGGCCTACTGCACCATAAACGTGTATAGATTGGTGATTTCAGCTGGACAGGATGGGAGGGTTTCCCGGCCGGGAAACACTTATTGGTTTGTCGTCTTCTACGAGGCATCAAATTTGCATGTCCACCACAACCCCGCTACACTGCCTTATGGCCTCCAAACTCAGATCTCACACTCAAACAAGTGTCTACAAAATTAGCTATGCTCCTGTGCTTAATTTCCTGCAAAAGGGTATCAGACGTTCGAGCCTTGGATGTTAATGCACGGTCCTTCACCCCACATGGTGTCCTATCTAATATCACCAGACGTGCAAAGTCGAAAATCACGTCAGCCTTCTATCCCGCCTTTCCTCACAATGCTAACCTCTGCCCAGTGGCGTGCCTTCAGGAATACGAACTGCGGACCCAGTCATTCCGGAACCAAACAACACACGACCTGGTCTTGGCAGTGAGGAAACCTCATCACCCAGTATCCATGGTAACTCTGGCACGCTGGGTGAAATGGATAATGTCAGCTGCTAACATCGACACATCAGTTTATGGAGCGCATTCTACTAGAGGCGCTATGGCATCTAAAGCATTCTCCATTGGTTGTAAATTGGAAGACCTCCTCCGCACAGCTGATTGGTCCCGAGAATCGACGTTCAAAGAGTACTATTTTCGTCCAGCAGAACATATCTCGTCTATGGTCATCTCACAGCTTTAAACTAGCCTAATATGAGCATCCGTGTCCTTTAATAAAATTACCAGATTTTACTAATTACATGACGTAAAGTCATGATTTTATTAAGGACACGGAGGCGAGTATTAGCCTGCCCAATGACAGGTAAGCCATACATTTATCTTCCCACCCGAATTGCCTATAAACAGGGAGGAGTGATTTGGATGTTCAGATGAAGTGTTATATACTAATAATAATTTTGGTTTTGAATTTGCTGGACTCAAGGAAAATGTTTAAGATATAAACGTTTCTTAAAAACTTGCACAGCTTATATGCATGACAACGATATTTGAATATATTTTACCACATATCTCTCTGTCTCCTACAGCTTAACCCTGTAATGGAATGATCGGGATCATCCTCTACCTCCTAACTACACCGGAAGAGACTCACCGGAACCCTCTACCTGAGATTATCCAAGTTTCTAAATTTTTCCCGTTGATGTGTTCAGCTTCGGCATCAGCTAGAAAGAGGGAGTGGCTTAGATCACATGAATGGACATAGAACAAGGACTGATCCCATTGGTTAATATGCTTGGAATGTTATATGGTTAACCCTTAAGGGTATTTGTTATTTTCTTGTTATTGCTATATTAAAAATATCAATATCCTTTCTTTGCTGCTAAGGAATAGAGAAAGAGACAAAGCCTAATATGAGCCTCCGTGTCCTTTAATAAAATCATGACTTTACGTCATGTAATTAGTAAAATCTGGTAATTATCTACACCTGGGGCTTACAAATCCTAGACACAGTTGTGTCACAAGTTCTCTGCCACTCATGTACAGCGTTCCATAAAACGTAGATTCTGATTACCTAGATTTGTACAATGCCTCTTATATGTCCTGTTATACCACTGTTTCATATTTCACCATTATGATAAAGGAAAATTGATTGTATTTTGTATGTGAAAACTCCAATAAAATACAAATAATAAAAATATATATATATGTTCAGTCAGAGGTGTGACAGCCTTCGTCAAACGATCAGCAACATTTATAACACAGTTAACAAAACAAATGCTGAAACATATTTTATTTGTGTTCCTGTTTCCAATAAATCTTCTTTGATGTTCCTTTCCTGTTGAACCTTTGGATTTTCTACTATGCCCCTATCATGATTTATAACCCAGACTGTACATAGCAACGCACCAGTTCCAGTAACTATGCTGTTTATTTACTAAATTGCGAATCATGAAAAGTTAGCGGGATTTGCAATTTTAAAAATCAAAAACAATCTCCTGTTCTAAAACCCTTCTCAAGCTTTGCAAATCCCTTGTCAGTTATTGGCAATATAAAGTTGTGAATCGATGCTGAAAATAATTATAATCTCGGCCAAATCTCCTCTAATTTACAAAGTACCAATTTCTTACGCAAGTCTGTTCAAAGTTACCAAAGCCACCATGTTTTTCTGATCACATATCAATTCTCGTATCCCTTGAAAAGTGTTGCCTTGCTGTAAATGAATGGGGAGGCACTGAGAGGCTGAGCGCGTCAGCTGACCTCTCTCAGCCAATCAGCGGTGCCCTTCCCCGGCGGTACTCTGCGCTTGATGAAGATTTCAGAAGCCGGATACCGCCTGGGGGGAATTGAGATAGGCAATGGAAGCTCATTTAGGGGTTCAACCATTCGAGAAAGGTAAGACTGTGTCCGGAGGCCTCCTGACACCATAACAACTTCATTTAGATGAAGTAATTATGATGCCTGAGTCCACCTAGGGGCCTCCTGACACAATTACAACTTAATTTAGATGAAGTAATTGTGGTGCCCAAAGTGCCCCTTTAAATAAGAACAACTGATGGGATCTAATGGGGTAACTTGCAATATTTGTACTTGTGTGCACTATCTATTCAGGGTTCATTTAAAATGGTTATTTGATTTGAATTGTGGTTCGGAATTAAGTTAGCATTTTTCTATAAGGTTTGCATGCATGTCTGCAAAATAAATTTAGCAAATTGTGATAATTAGAGACGTGCAACTCAGCATGTTGGAATCATCCTAATTTCCTTATGAATCAGTATCGAATCAATTTGTTTTGATAAGGATAGCAATTTTGGGAGTTCTATACTAAACAACTTACTTTTCTTAATGTTTGTCTTTTAGCTGTTTAGTATATACTACCTAATTTGGTGTCCATATGACAGCGAATTAGGGAGCTTTCTACTAAACAGCTGAAAGATCAAAATTTAGAGAAGGGCTAAATTAATATTGGCCTCTTAATATTGGCCTTTCACCAGTTTAGCAGATAACTCCTTAATTTGACACTTTGTCATTTTGTAACTCCTGCCTTCATTCATTCTCCATACAGAATAATGGGTGTATGAATTCTGGAAATTAACAAAATGTTTCAGGCACATTTCTGTTTGACCAAATCAATATTTTTCAAATTTCAACTGATCCAAAATTAGAAAAATAAAGAATTTATACAAAATGATTTTCCCCCATGTGCATCTCATGTAACACCAGACATTTAATTCCCTTGCAAATTCCCCACAATTACCAGCTTAGTGAATCTAAGACAAAAGCTACATACGTAGAATTCTAAGACTGATAGTAAAAGGCATCAAAATGCTATGTTCAATGCTTCTATTCCAATTCTTTTTTTGTGGATAGATTTATTTAAACTGTATATTTAACCTTTTCAGTAGTTGTTGGATGAGTGGTAAATGCACTGAAAACAATAGAGAATTAAAAAAGACAGTTTTGCAAATTAAATTCAGATTTGGGTCAAAAGACTCCAGGACGGGGGGCAGGGCCTGACCGCCAAACTGAATGGTCGCATACAACAACAGCTCCTGCAACCCTCAGACTTTAAAGCTTACAAATGCAGATCTTACACCTGATTAACGACCAGCAGCTGTGGTCTGACACACAAGGGAGCACGGGCTCAGAGGAGAGACTTGCAATTTTTGTTTTAGTCCATCGAGAAGATAACAGTCGTACCTACAGGATGAGGCCTACTCAGGCGGTGAGTGGGGTGGACGTCCGCTACCCCGCTATCCTGCCCTACGGTATTGTGCTGGATTCCCATGGACGTGTTAACATGGCCCCATCCCCCCCCCCCTGGGTTGGTGGGGGTGATCCCGTTCCACACCCTGCAGCCCTTACTGCACCAGAGATCCTGTTACTCAGACCACGAGGCCCCACTAAAATGGCCGCAAATGCGAATCTACCAGTTCGTAATGGGAACAACGACCCCTTTCCTCCCTCGCTGGCTAAAGTCCTCACAAGCCCAAGGCGGATGCTACGTACCTGCATGAGGCAGCCTCCGTGACACACCAATCCAGTGCTTGCCAGATCAAATCCACTGCGGTGCCCAGACTCACATAGGGTGAAGTGAACGGAGAGACAGCTGACTGACAGATGCGGCAGAGAACAAGCCCACCCTGAACATGACACCGCTCCCTACCCTGGATCTAGATCGCAGCTCCTCCGTGATAGAGCTACAGCACCTGCACAGCAGGAGGTTCACCAGCAGAAGGGCACCAGAACACCAAGAGGCATCGGCTGAAATGATCTGTCACTACTAAATGCGGATTTCTCCTGCCTACAGCAGTCAAAACGTGGACTCTAGTTAAGAAATGCCTTGCATAAATGTTTTGAGCCTTTCAACGCTAATATCCCTCCACGTAATGCCTTGCTTGCTTGGGGTCTGGCTTCCTACTAGTGGGGGACTTATGGGTGTACTACCATTCTCTCATTCTGCTTAACTAGCATAGGCAAAACTACTATTGCCTATATAAACATGCACTGCATATATCCTGATCTCATTCTCACCTCTTTTGCAATCTCTATGCACTGAATCACTGGGGACATTACTTCCCTTTAACAAACAATTTGTGCAGTTAAAGGATGAGCCTGTTCTTAACCTTATACAAATGTGCAGTTACTCTGAAAGCCACGTCACTGTCTTATACCATTTGCTGTCATTGTGCTTATTTGAGCTGTTGTGGCTATACATGCTTGTTTTGTTATAATATGCACACCTAAAATAAAGAATACAAATATATATTTTTAAAAAGACTCCAGGACAAAAACTATTAGCAACATATTCCTTGTTTGTGGGAGATGCCTTATTGTAATTTTTTTACAGATGGAAAATACTTCTCTACCACCTGGTCCTGTAATATTTGGCAATGACATCACTATTTAGCCTGAGAGTAGTAAGATCCCTGTGAGTCAACATAGTTACACTGAAACTATTCCAACAAAGTGGAAAGCCCCGTAAAGGGGAACTTATACTTTACTGGATATCACACTACTGAATTAAACATTAAATGGGGCTCAAAAAACCCACTCACCTACTAGACATTGGCGAGTGAAAATTCAGTAGGATTTGAAATGTTGAGCCTTGACACGGAATAGGATCTATATAATTCTATAAAACCTTTTTTTGTTTATGTGATGTTCCATTTTCTTTTAAAGGGACACTATAGTCACCAGAACAACTACAGCTTATTGTATTTGTTCTGGTAAGTAGAATCGTTCTCTTTAGGCTTTTTGCTGTAAGCAGTGTAAGCCTATAGTGATACACTGGCTACTGCTCAGATGGCTACTAGAGGTGTGCAGCACTGCCATTCAGTGTCTCTTTGAGTCTTTACCCTCTGCATGGAAACACTGAACAATTCATCTCTATGAGGAGATGCTGATTGGCCAGGGCTGTGCTTGATTTGTGCTGGCTCTGCCCCTGATCTGCCTCCTTGACAGTCTCAGACAATCCTATGGGGAGGCATTGTGTTAGGCTCAGCTAACTACTTCTGATGATTTTAGCCAAGCAGGGAGATCAAGGCAGAGGCAGCAGCTGCAGACTTGAATACAAGTACGATTTTACTATATTTAGGGAGTTTAGGGGGTGCCAGATGGTGGTTTTAACACTATAGGGTCAGGAATACATGTTTGTGTTTCTGACCCTATAGTGTTCCTTTAAATATATCACTATATACAGTGGGACCTCGGTTTACAAACGACCAGGTTAACATAATTTTCGGTTTACAAATGAAAATCCATTGAAAATAATGCCAAGGTTTACAATTTTTTTTCGCAATACAAAGCAAGTTTCACCAGGATGCATTGCACCTGGGAGGTTTATAGCACCGCCCCCTGTATGCTGGAGCCTGTGGGTAGCACGTGGCATCGAGTGTGGAGGTGTTGGAGCGGCTTTTGCATCGAGTTTTGGAGCCATTCTGGAAATTGTTTGCAGTGGTTTTGGGACTTTTTTGTGCATTTCTCAAGCTGTGGAAAGGTAGGGAGCTGAGCTTCGTCGTTTGCATGCCTTTTATTGTGTGTTCTGCATTGTGGGTTGGTTTCCATGCCAGCTCATTTTGACTTTTTTTCCAGAATAGATTAATTGGTTTTCAATGCATTCCTATGGGAAACCTCTTTTCGGTTTACAAATTTTTCGCCTAAAGAAACGTCCTGGAGAACGCATTAAATTCGTAAACCGAGGTCCCACTGTATATCCTTTTATAGTAAAGATTTGGCAAATGACATACCAATCTGGGTCAGTTCAGGCACAGACAGGGCAAAAAATGCAAGTTTGAAGAAGAAATAGGTAAACAACCCCCCAGGTAAACAACGCACACTCACCTCATCTAAAAGAAAACGTGATTCATCAGAATTCCATTGCTTCTTGGTCCAGTTCTGCTCACGTTCCCATTAAAGGTGCTTTTGGTGGTGGACAGGGGTCATCATGGGCACTCTGACCGGTCCAGGTTTTCAGCATCTATTTAGGAGTATAAAGTATTATTTCTTACACTGCCTACTAAAACACATTGCAGGGTACATTGCAAATATATTGATTCTTTGGGTTCTAGTCCTCAGGGTGTGCATAAAACAGCAATGCATAGTTTTCAAACTGGGAACCTGACCCTGCATCTCCAGTGTGATTAATTGCATGCTACACCTTTTCACATTTACATTATGTAAAAATGCACAGATGCCTCGGGGATCCATATAAAAGGAGCGTATCTATGTGGCAATCATTTCAAGCACATTAAAGCATTTCTGGAAGTGTCTTGCTTGCTGGGTAGCTCGCAGCTCTGTCAAGTTTGTCTGAGACTCCTCATGTGTGCTAGACAGGCACCCTGACAAATAGCTGGCGTTGACTGTTCTCGCGTTCACCTGTTTTGGTGGCCCTACACTAACCTCACGCATAACTCCTAGTATTACACATGGACAAAGAGGGACACGTTCATTTTAATGGTGTAAATGGGGCTGTGGTCAGGGGTGGGGCTGTTCTGAGAAATTTTGGATGACTTAATTTATGCAACTAAAATGTAATTTAGCATATGAACAATGTAACCCATGTACACAGACTCATTTCCAAACATATTTATTGAGTGTAAAGACACATTACTGGGAGTATTATTGCCGTGGAGCTCTATTACCCATTCAGAAATATCAATGAGCTTTGAAAAAAAAAAGAGGGACATTGGAATAGAAAAGGGACAGAGTGATTTGGGCCCAAAATAAGGACTGCCCCTCCTAAAGAGGGACTCTTGGGAGGTACGCTATTGCTGTGGAGCTCTGTTATACACTCAGACACACCAACTATATAGAGCTCTTAGAAAAGAGGGACAGAGGGATTTGAGCCCAAAATAGGGACTGTTCCTCCTCTTTGGAGGCAGACTATAAGTGCAGGGCTGGTAAATGCATTTAAACCATTTAAACCACCAGAGTGATTACCCTATTAATATTTTTTCAGAATTCCAGTGTCTTTGCATATGCATACTTTGTTTCTCATTCCTACTTTATATCACATATTTACCGATACTCCTCACTACACGAGTTATCTAATTTCTGTCTCCTCATCAGCTTCCGGACCCCCATTTCTCCATCAGTCGCTGCTTCTTCGTTTTAAACATCTCATGTACCCATTTACATAGTTATTTACTAATGTGTGAATTGTTGGAAAAATCCCAAGTCAGGTATGCACTCCATTCTTTTCTTTTGTATTTATAATATAATTTGAATTCTATCAAGTTCACACATTGGTGAATAACCCTGCATCTGTTCATTTCACCTTTTTATGTTTCTTACTATCTTTGTTTTAACTGTCGTTTCCCTCTTACTTCTTTCAGTCTCCTTGTTTCTCCCATCTCCACCAATCTCCATTTGTCACCTCTCCCTAACACTTTTTGCACAACTCTCACCTCCAGCCCCCTCCCTTGTTGCTTACCCTTTAATTTTTATCTTTTCACTTTCCTACAGCATGTAAGCTCATTGAGCAGGGCCCTCAACCCCTGTGTCCCTGTGCGCCCAACTTGTCTGGTTACAATTACATGTTTGTTAGTCCTCCCATTATAAAGCACTATGGAATTTGTTGGCGCAATAGAAAAATAATAATAATATATCCCATTCCCTCTTTATCCTTCTTTTTTCTCTTCCCTCACCTAATCATTTTTACGTTCCCTCTTGCTCAGTCTCCTGTATTTCCTGTTTTTTACTCAAGGATCAAAATTCCACTCACCCAATAACCATTGGCTAGTAGAAATTTGCCCCTGGCAAGTGTTTCATGGATCCCCAAGGCTTGCAGTGGCAAGTAACTTTTAGGCCACGCTAGTCATATAGGATTTTATTTATTATTTTTTGACTCCACAAGCGTGGGATATACATACACGACACATCATGACTACAGTAAGTTACCATGTTGAAGTTATTCGTCCTCTGAACAGAAGGGAATCAGTAAGAGCACTTCCATGGAGGGGCTGAGGGGGAATGAAACACATGGAGGAGCTTGGGGTGGAGGGGTGAGACACATGGGGGGGCTGTGGGAAGAATGAGACACATGGGGGGGCTGTGGGAAGAATGAGACACGTGGAGGTGCTAGGGGGAGAATGAAATACATGGAGGGGCTGAGGAGGGGAATGAGACACATGGAGAGAATGGGAGGGGAATGAGACACATGGAGAGACTGGGAGGGGAATGAGACACATGGAGAGACTGGGGAGGGGAATGAGACATGTGTAGGGACTGGGGAGGGGAATGAGACACATTGAGAGACTGTGGAGGGGAATGAGACACATGGAGGGACTGGGGAGGGGAATGAGACACATTGACAGACTGTGAAGGGGAATGAGACACATTGAGAGACTGGGAGGGGAAGACACATGGAGGGACTGGGGAGGGAAATGAGACACACTGAGAGACTGTGGAGGGGAATGAGACACATGGAGGGACTGGGGAGGGGAATGAGACACATTGAGAGACTGGGGAGGGGAATGAGACACATTGAGAGACAGGGGAGGGGAATGAGACACATGGAGGGACTGGGGA